ACTGATACAAACGAGGTGACCGCACTCCGGCTCAGAAGCAACAGGGGTGCTGCAAGCAACCTGGCCGCAAAGCAGCGCTTGTAACGCAAAAGCTTGGCAGCGGTGTCGCGGAAAAAGCCGCAGGCCGACCTGCAGGAGTATGCGAGGCTGGCAGCGGGCGCTGTGCAAAAACGTAGGCCCCTACACTAGCAGCGAAAAATTGGACCGCAAAGCTCGGCACACGAATGGAGAAGTGAGGACGCGGAGCGGAGCCGGGCTGTCTCGACCCGAGGGAACTGGATGCACTCAGGGCAGAGCCAGGCAGTCCTCGGGGAGGAACCGGACGCTCGCACTGCGCAATGGCAAGCGGATTGGCCTCAACAAGGGCCCGAACAACCGCGAGGGGCAGAACGAGCTAGCGAGGGGGCCTCACTACGAACCTTGGCTTGAGACAAAATGGCTTGAGCCAAAATGGCTTGAGCCAAAATGGCTACGGGACATTTGCGATGCGGGCGCGGCGCCTGACCTCCACGAAGTCCTCGCTGAGGTTCGCGGCAGCCGGACCCAGCAAAGACCCGGGAGGCGAGAGAAACCCAACTCAGAAAGCTCTGGAAGCTTGAGGCCCTCCCTCCCTCCTTGAGATGTCCTTCGCGGGTCGCAGCACCGGCAAGTGGGTCGACAAGGTCAAGGAAAGGGTTCACAAGACCCGCTTTACCTTCGCCGACATGCCGACGTGAAGCGGGCATACACCAAAAGGGGTGTAGCATGAAGACCTTTGTCTTCGGAAAAGAGAAAGGGGCCGAGACGGAGAACCGGGTCTACATCTACATGAGACCACCACAGGAGTGGCGGCCAATCTTGGAGGAGTGGGTTCGGGAGCATCCGCCGGCGAAACAGGCGAAGCTCATGGCACAGTACAGCGATTTCATCCTGCTGCTGGACGGCAACCTTTACGGGTGCCGCAAAGCATGGTCGGGTTACAAAAATGAGCTGGAGGAGGTGCTGCGCAAGACGTGCTTCCGCTCGGCGACGTGCTTGACCTTGCGAATGCCTGCGCCCCCCGTCGGCCGCCGCTTCGCTAGTGTTCCGTAGTTTCTAGGTTGCTCCGACGGCGCTAGGACTGTTTGCGCTGACGCAAAAAAGTGCGCGAAAAAAAAAAAGTGGATACAAAGAGGGTCGTTCTGGTCGCGGCGGTGGTAAGTACTCCGACGCAGATTCAACCGGGCCTGCCGGCAACCAGCTGTCCAAATGCTGAATTGCGAGGCCTGCCGCGAGGCGATCCTTGTGCACGACCTAGCGGTCTGGGACTTTGGCCTGGAGGTCGAAACCCCACGCATACAGTATGATCAGACAGCTCCACGGGCATCAGAGCAGCTAAGCGGCTAAGCGCATCGGTTTAGGGAGCAAGCTTCGACACCTGGTTGTGTGTCTGACTGCTACGTACAAGGCGCAGTTCCAGCAGGCAACGCCCCATTGCGCAAAATCAAGGGCACAGAGAACCGGCGAACTACCTGAGAAGCACCCCAAGACTGGGAATGAAGTGCTGCAAGCTTTGCCTTCCTTGGCAATGGTAGACCTCACGCAAGTAGCAGCAGGCACTGCCGCGGAATGCATACGGTCAAGCTTGTGCTGGAAAATCCGCCTAGTCAGTGGAAGTCGGTGTTTGTGCACGCCCTCGCGGGCAATCGCCAGCGTTACCTCTGGGCGCCAAGTCCTCGGAGTGAGGGGGCAACCGCGGGAGGAAGAGATCATTGCGTGGGCCTTCAGAGCAACACTGTTGCTAGGACTTTTGGGCTGGTTGGTTAGCCCCTGGTTTGCCATAAGGTGGTGCAGCCGCGGGCTGCACGGAAAGCAAAGAGCGGCACGTCGACAGCCGGAACAGGCACCCTCTGAGCCCACAAGCGAGCCAGAAGAAGAGGACGGCGCGCTTCCCACGTGACACGCCACCTGTGGCTGCGGAGTACATGCGGGGAGCCGCCGAGGGTGAGCCTCCGCCACAACCTTCGCAAGGCCTGCTGCATGGAGACGACGACTACAGAACGGTACGCATCCACCTCCCGTTCCGCAGCGCGACTTCGGGCAGTTGCCATGTGCTACCCCGCCACGCGCCGCACAGTACACCTGTTCCTCAACTGCGTCGTCCTCGCGTCGGTGTCAGCGAACAGAGCTATATAGAGTTATCACCGAGCACTTTTGCCTCACGTGTTGGGGAAGCACCCTGATAGGGACCAGGGATCCGACGAGGATCGACACCACTAGGAAGGTGGGCGAGAACTATGCCACCGCCATGCGCGGGACGCACTGCCCTCGCGGTCGGAGGGGGTGCGAGAAAACACGTAGTTTCCTTAAGTTACCAACACCTGAGGGCTTCAGCTAAGCAACCTCTTCACGCATTTGCTTGTGTGGAACCACTGTGCAACTACCGCAGCACTTTTGTGGCTTTGCAAGGAAGGTTCCCCTAATCTTAAAGCCTTCGCAGTTTGACGCGGCGACTCGGACTTTCCAGTATGCCCTTCGAGCTCGTTCGGGCGCCGACGCCCTGGCCACCCAACTCCTCCGCCCCTTCTACGGGCGCACACCAATATATTATTGGCGGGATGACACGGGGAGGCGGAGAGAAGTGCATCAAGGAGAAGGCTGCGAGCCGGGAGAACCCCTCGCCCCGGCCCCGGTCAACATGCCGCGCGGCTAGCAGCCCAACTCGCCTCCAGGTGGACGAAAAGGTTTTCGCGTTCTTGCATGACCTTTACGTCCTCACAACTTTGCCCCGCGCGCGGGTTGCACGCGACATCGCGGCAGGCGAGGTCGAAGTTGTCTGTGGCATCGCGTCTAACCACGGCAGGACACGGATGTCTGGCCGGTCCAATGTGCCTGCGCTACTGCCCGAAGTGGCCGGCCGGCCTCGGTCCGGATGTGTGATGGGGGGGCAGGTCGCCGCGCGAGCGTTGTACTCTGCACGACCATTGGGCATCCGGCCTTCATCCAGGAGTGGGCGGACGAGCGGCCACAGGAGGAACAACGGCTAACGGCTACACGAATTCCCCAACCTTCCGTGTGCCTGGCTGCTCCTCGCGCTCTGCGCGTCCTTCCCATCATCGGAGGTAGCTATGATGCAGCTCTGTGGGAAACCTTCCCTTCCTGCGTCAAAGGAGCGCCAGCGCCCGATGCGCGTGCGGCTTGGCTGATAGTGGCTTCCCCGAGACCTTGGGTGGGTTAGGGTTGCAGTCCGCCCCCGCTTCGCGGCAGCATGAGTCACGGAACTTGAAAAGTGAAGGGTCCGTCGCCTGCTGCAGCATGATCCTTCAGCAAGCCTCGGACACTCGAACCCTTGTGCTCACGGAAGGTTGGTAGCCATGTGGGCGCAGCTGCTCGACAATCACCAAACGAAGGCTTTACGAGACCAAGGATTGGGGATATTGGGGGACTGGCCCCATGGCACACGACGCGGACAAACACCTACTTTCGCGACCGCGTGCTGTTGCCGACAATGACCCAGCTTCCCGCGCCCCCCTGCGTTCCCAGGCAAGACCACAAGGCCTGGCTCACCGCCACACCCTGGGATGAAACCCATGTCCTTGCACCTGAGGCATGCTGAGGCCATGCAGATCAGGCTGCGCCGACACTTGCGTCTCGCTTTGCCGCTCGCCTCCACCTGCGCCGGCGCGGCCGGGGACCATACTGTATATGCCGTAGCATGCCCACGCACGGGGTTGCTCGCGCGCCGGGCCAAAATCGTGAAGCATGCCTGGGTCCGCGTGGCACGCGACACCTTGTACCGGGCGTGGCCTCGGATGACCGCCGCCGACTCGACATGATGGATGAAGACGGGGCTGGCTGGCCACCGCAACGCGCCGAAAAGAGGCGACGTACCCGGAGCTGCTCCGCAACCGCCCCCAGCGCCTCGTAGTACTCGGTTCGGAGGTGGGGGGCCGCAATGCTGCGGCTATCGCTTGGGCTCGGCGCTGGTGGCAGTTGTGGGTTGAGCGGGGCCTGAGTAAGTAGCACCGCCGATAATGGGCCTATAAGGTTTCGAACTGACTCAGGACCGTACCCTGTGGCAGATGCAAGCAGGCGCGACAAAAAAAGTTGTCGTGTGATTCGAAACGCCGCTTTTCGGCCCAGTGAACGATGCGCTGGGCACTTTCAAGCTTCATGGGGGATGGTGCTGTCGAGCGTGTGTCGGGCCATAGTCGTACACGCTGCAGCTCAACACGATTGTTTGTGACAATGTGACATGTTTGTATCTTCACGACGCAGCTGGTCAAAACACATTGGACGCAGCACCAGTTAGCCCCCACATTCGCCCTTTGTTGTTTGGAACTGGCCCATCGCGCAGTCTCCTCGCAGTATGTGATGTGGAACATGGCGGCGATATTTCGACCAGCCATCCGCATCCGGCCAAGCCAGTGGATCCGAGGTGACATGGTTGCAATGTTGCAGCCAGCCGATGCGAAAGCCTCGTGCAATTTAGGAGGGTACTAGTAACTAGTACTAACTTTAGGTCGCATGTTGCAGCACGTTTTGTTTGTTGCAGTGGTAATACTTAGGGCTAAATAACTGTATTTTTTTTAATTTTTTTGTTTGTTGTC